TATATCCCGTCCAATGACACCAACATGCCACCCTCCCCTCTTTCTTCTGAATTTGACGAGGTTAGCAGTCTAGACTCCAAAATTTATTAAAAACAATTAATCCGCTTTTCATTCCCTTTCTCCCGAGCCCCACCATCTATATACAACATCGACATACAGTCTGAATCTCACCGCTGTAGAAGATGATTTGCAACCCTCGCCTCCTTGTAAGAATCAATTACTCAAATTCTTCTACTTCAACTTGGTTATTATGGCTACAAAGAAAACTCGCACAATAGAAGGTTGAAATAGGGGACTTGACTAGTATTTCCAAAGGACTCTATACTGAATTCATTCGTTCTTTCCATGAAGAACATTGGAGAGAAATTTGAGACAAATGCCCCTTGGATGATAGCAAAACTTTTTCTCGTTACTTTTGATTGAAAATGGTTTGTATTAGTTCTCAAAAGGAACTATGACACTCATAAATTAATCAACAAGAATGCACTTGATTATGTTTGTTACGCTTGCAGAGTTGTCGTCTATGTTTTTGCTTTTGGTTGGCTCATTTGCAGACTAAAAAAATTTCAGTTTCATCTACAATGGCTTTCGAGGTGCTAACTTGAGCATGGATGGTCTAGCACAAATAACACCAAGAAGCCTTGGTATTAACCAACTGCTCTGTACAACAGTTAGGCCATGCCTTTTACCCTTATTCGCTCTAGTTCAAGAATCAATCGAACGGTGAAGTCTTCTCTTTCTCTACCAGTTTCTTGTTCAGCATCGTTCCTTAGCGCGAGTACTCAGATATAGGTGGCAATGGAATGGCTTTCATGATCGCACCGTCAAGAGGCCTCCCGAGATCTCTACCAATCCAATCTCTAGGCCTCTTCAACGATTCCAACAATGGAAACTCTTCCAACCATGTTGTTGTAGTTGAACTCAATACAATCAAGAATATTGAATTTGCTGATATAAACAATAACCATGTAAGTATTGACGTTAACAAATTAACGTATGTTGCTTCTGCACTGGTGTCTTTTTTTACTAATAAAAATGGTGGGCACAAGAACCTAACCTCAAAAGTGGGACAATATGATGGTTTCAACACTGAATTAATGTCACATTAGCCCGATTATTGTGATAGTGGCAGTTCCGATGGAGGTGTTGTATTGGCAGAGGAGATTTGGGCTGAAGAAGAGAGGACGAGAGAATGAGAAAAGAGAAAGAAGGGGGTTAATTGGAGTAGCGAGGAGGTTGTAGAGTTGTCTTCGACTGTGGGTATGATTCGCGATGCATGTGTGAAGAGGCGGTCGGGAGGGAGGAGAAGAGAAGAGAGAGGAATGGCGAGGGTTGCAATGGCTCGAGTGTAGAATCGTCTCCGATGACGATGAATGAGTTTCGCAATTTGATGTCAATGAATGTGAAGGGGCGGTGGGGAGGGAGGGGAAGAGAATAGCGGGAATGATGGAGCGAAGGGAGAGGTAGGATTGTGTTAAACATATTTGATAAAATTTGGCATCCATATTATCATTAGATCCTTAGCTCCATTAGTTTCAAAATGACATAGGAGAGTGTGATGTGTTCGAACATAATTGGATGGGATAGAAAATTTTCTGTACCTAGGGGATAGACGTTGTGAGCTCCTTAATTTTTCCATGAACAAAAAATGTTTTATGGTAGGAGGGGAAGACTTGCCATTCAAACATATATAATTTTAATTTTTGTTGAATTTTCTTCATGTACTAAACAACTTTTATGTTTTGAGTAATTAAATACTTAAACAATTTAAGTATAATTTTAATTTTAGCTACGGTTTTGGTTTTTCGTTTACAGTTGCTTTAGTTAAATACTAAAACAATTTAACCGTAACAAAGTGTAAAAAGTAGATTAATCAAACAAGGGTAATTTTGGCATTTTAAAATGTTTTTAATGATGCCTTGACAATTAATCAAGGGCAATTTTGTACCATTATGTGTTTACCGTATGAATTAATGACGAAAGGGAGGTTTTTGTTGAGTTCTTTAAAAGTTCAAGGGAGACTTTTGCTAAAGTGAAACTAAAGGGGAGGTTTTTATGATTGTCAGAAACTTCAGGGAGGTTTTTATGATTGTTAGAAACTTCAGGGAGTTTTTTGTATTTTACCTTTATTATTATTATTATTGAGTTAGCACTTATTGCGAGGAAAAATGACTTATAAAGGTTTCTATGGGTGGGGCTCATGTTCCATTCAAGTTCTATTTGCAGTCTGACTAAAAGTTAAGAAGTTCAAGTTCAACTCAAAAGCATGAAAAACTAATATTTTTATTCTAATACAACTGAACTAGATTTACAAAATTTCAAACCGTGGCCCTATTCATTTTTTGGTAAGCTATGGGCCCCATAGTAAACTAAGCTTCCTTATATATCACTTACCCGGGTAAGTGATACCCACCTCCCAAGTGCATAACTTTTTCACCTTTGATAAAAGTTTACAAAACATAATGGGACAAAATTTTCCATTTTAATGGCTTCTTTTTTATGGGTAATAAAGTTATTAGAAGAACATGAGTAAATTAACTTACCTAGATATGTATTTTCTAGAAAACATTTAATTGAAATCTGGATAAACGCATTTACCTAGATAAATAACATTTGAAAAAATGAATAAGGCCCAAATATTATATTGCTCAAATTCAAATTTGAATAACTAGTATAATTTACCCGAAAATAACTCAAATTGAACCCAAACTATTTAATTAAGCCATTAAAAGCGACTGAAGTGGATAACCTTGAGATAGCTGATTGACAACTAGTTTGGGCTATATGAATTTTTTACTAAATATAACTTAATAGGTTATTTAGGTGGGACCTACCTTATAGAAATCAGAAGTTGTTGCTCTTTAACCCTTGTAAATGAGACTAGGGGCTTATTCGTTTCCTCTCAACTCTTATCTCTTAAGAGGAATCTTTTAACTTTAAGAGAAAAATGGGTGTTCGTTTCCTCTTATCTCTTAAAGTGCAATTATATAACTTTTGTTTTTCAATGATGCCCCCAAAAAGATAAACAAAAACTCTCATATATGGGGTCAAAATGGATATTTGATAATTTTAAGAATTCAAATTTCAAAATTCAAAACAACATTCTCTCCATTTAGAGTTCAAAGGAAAGAAAAGTTCACTAATACCAATATACCTCTTAATGTAATTATTGCAGTTTCAGATGTTAGACTCCAAAGCAAATGAACAAGCCCTAGGTTGGGTAGATACACCATTGTGAGCATATCCCGTAAGCACTCAATAAATATTTTGAAAACTGTCTTACAATTTTCTTTAGGGATAAGTAGATTGCAGTCCACCTTAGAAATCTAAAATTATAGCCCTGCCTAAAACCCCTTTTCTATGCGACAAATGTCACAAAATTTATAGAGTGCTTATTCAATGTGTACATTTTCTGTGCTTACATGGGAAATGGGAATACAGAGGGAGGATGCACATGAGCCATGATGAAGACCATTGACTAGGGGTGAGCAAAAAAAAAAAAAAAAAAACTGACCAAAACCAAATCGGTCGATTTGGTTTCGGTTCAATATTTAAAAAAAAATTGAAGGTACCAGTTCAGTTTCGGTTAACCAACAAACCGGTATACATATATTTATATATATTTTATATTTTCTATACATTATAAATTAATAAATATGCATTATATATAAATATATATTTATAATATATAATATATTATTTATTATTTAAAATATAATATTATATATATTTTTAGTATTTTATTATATATTTATATATTTTTCTATAATAAATATTGTAAATAATAAAAAAAATTGAAAAATTGACGAATTGAACTGGTCAACCGGTTAACCGATCGACTTTGGTGCGGTTTCGATTACCGGTTTGTTGGTTTTCCAAAAATCAGTAACCCGGGTTTGATTTCAAAAATTAGCCCAACCGAACCGTGAGCACCCTTACCATTGACCAACCATGTTACTGTAGAATATAGGTTTGATCCCATATATCCACCAAGGTTTTAAAAAACAACCTATTTGACCACCAATTTCCAGGTCAGTGGTTCGATCATCTTGGTTAAACGGTTCAAATGTTTCAATAAGTAAAAATCATGTATATCTCATCTTACCCATTGGATTAGAATACTGGGTAAGATGAATATAAATATCATGAGAATGGGACTGAGGATGAGAGTGAGAAGAGGCTTTATTGGCTGAGAGAACTTAGAAAAGAAGGAAGACTTTGAGAGAGAAAGAGAAAAGAAGAAGAAGAAGGAGGTCACCTATACTGATGATGGTGATGACAACGAAAATAGATTTGAGATCTCTCTCATGAATGCCTCTCTCCATCTTAAAATATAAAAATTATCAATTCCTTTCAATAATAAATTAAGAGAAGCCAAGCGATGAAGCGAAGCCATAATTTTATATATATCACAAAAAAACTTCTACAATTTCATTTGAAGAATCTACAGGAATAACAAAAAGGGATTTTCAATGAAAAGTAATTAAATTATAAATCACCATTCAAATAAATAAGAAGAATAGTTTAGGGATTTAAAAATGTAAACAATTTAATGAGACTTTTTTTCCAAAGTTGACTGATGAAACTCTAACGAATAGGGATTTTTATGGCAAATAAAGATTCAGGTATCAGGGGGTCTTTGTAAAAAACGCATTAATTTTTAGTTTTTTAGATTTAGATAGTTAACGCCTCGGATATGATTCCGTTTAATTTAGAAGAGAATGAGCAGACGGGTGTCCTCAATGGATACACAATAGAGGACAGAGTGTCTCAGTCCGCTCGAGGACAGAGTGTCTCACCTGCTCATTCGTGTGATGTTATCTTATCCAAACTACCATGGACCATCATAATTGACGGTCAAGATGGACTATGATCGGTTTCATACATCCTGTTAGTCTGGATTAAGCCCTATACGGTAGCAAATTATCTGGTCCGGTGAGAGAACCGCGGGTGTCTGTTAAAAGCCTAGCGTCGAACATAAGGCGGTTGACAGGGTCCGTTTGACTCATACCAGAACTCGAAGTCTTTCTTTTTTAATTTTTCTGTTCTTTTCCTTCACATTCTGTAATTGCCAGCATCTCCAGTGCTTCGATCCAAGCAGTCACGTTTCTATTTTCTTGTTCGTTCGTTAGGGTTTGGATCTGATTTTTCTTTCCTTCACATTTTATAATTGCCAGAGTCTACACGGCTTTGATCCGACTATCCGAGCACTCGCATTTTTCTTGCTCGTTCGGTCTGTTTGTTAGGGCTTGCATCAATGGCTAATCCAGAAGAATCAAACCCTCTTCTGACCAAGCAAGGCGATGGAGAGAGGAATGCTAAGCACGGCGAGAAAAAGGCGGCGCCTACGAAACCAGTGTCGGTGGAATCTGGACAGAACGTCGGCCGGGGTGCAGGATGGACTGCCGATGGTTTGCCGTTAGGATACGGGAGTGTAGTTGGTGAGCCGGTGTCTCGTGCTCAGTGGGATTCCTCTCTGTTCGCTTGTCTTGGTCGCAACGATGAGTTTTGCAGCAGCGATCTCGAAGTTTGTAAGTTTTGTCCTTCCAATTGTCTAGTTGATTGTTTTTTTTTTTTCCTCGTTTTAGATATCCCTTTCCTTGATTAAATTATGGAGGGACTTTCCAATGGATCGTCTTCTTGGTCATCATGATTTTGTTATGCCCTCCGCCATATTTTTCAAGGTTTAAGGCTTTTCTTTCTATGGATGCGGTTTTATATTCAATTAACTTTCCAGGCATGACAAAATAGTGTATTGCTATAGGGGTATTTGGAAAATTGATGCGCCAATTATATAGATAGATAGATATTATAAAACAGAAAACATTAGGCGTTAATCTACTAACAAAGAGACTTATTAATCTACCTGCTAAAAAGTACTTGCAAAATAAAGGCATTAGGCGTTAGATGAATGCTAATGATCTTTAAAACCTTCTAGTGACACTATAGCCCAAAGAAACAGAGAAAAACTCGTAAATAACGATTGGTATTTCTAGAATGTTATTCGTACGTGTTTTTTCCAAATTGTTTTGATGATAGATACATGTATTGGGAAACTAATGGTGTTTTCTCATTGACTGATGAAAAGAATACTATTTGCATAACTTTCTATGAATTTTATGTTCGGTGGCACTTGTAGCTTCTGGACTGAATAAACTATCTGGTTGATGTCATTGATGACGGAGTGTCTTCCGTAATTTGCATCTTGCATTTTGCATAAAGCATAATTTCAACCACATGACGATTTCAAGAGTCCATCTTGCGTATCTTTTTCCTAGTTTTGCTTAAGTGGAAAATCATACTTAGCGTGCCCAATAAGCTCTGAGCCCAGCTGAGCTTGCTTGTCTGGTCTTTGATTCAAGAATCATGATCCATTGCATTAGTCTGCAGACTCTCTGCTTAGGTGGATCTCACCTAAGCAGGCTTCTTATTTGAATTTCACTTCACCTAAGCTCTAGGCAAATTGGGCCGATCTAGGTCTCAATATGCAATTCACATTGCCACGATCCAAAGCCAATCGACTAAAACCAATTGAAGAAAAAACACGTGATTAAATTACAATTTTTATTGTAAAACATTCAGTAATAATTAATAAATTGCGATGCTTATACTGATTAAATAATAAATTAAGATGCTTATTTAACATTCATTATATCCATCCATTTATATACAATATCTGGTTTGCCTTGATAGTCTAATATTTTGAAGCAGTGAAGAGTCATTTTGAAACAAAAGAGACTTTCTAGTGCTGTCAGTGTTAATTTCTATTTTTGTTAGTTAAAGAGAATGGGTAGAAGCTCTTTTGTGCATTTACTTTAAGATTAAGCTTTTCTAGTTGCTAAAATGTTGTTGAGTTCCAACTTTGTTTCTGTCATAATCACCATATGCTTTTGGTTATTTTTATTCTGACAAGAACAATAATCTGGGTAGGTCTTCTTGGAAGCTTTGCCCCTTGTATTCTATATGGGAGTAATGTGGAGAGACTAGGATCTGGTTCAGGGACTTTTGCAAATCACTGCCTAGCTTACACTGGCCTTTATATGCTTGGGAACTCTGTTTTTGGTTCGAATTTCCTGGCTCCATGGTTTTCTTATCCCAGCCGCACAGCAATTCGCAGGAAATTCAACCTTGAGGCAAGTTTCTTTGACTCTTTTATTGAGTTGGTATGTTTATCAACTGTTTAGTTTTTATGTGTTGTTTAGTTCTTCTCTAATGAAAGCTATACGGGTCTGGGAATGAATGCCTTTTCTTTTATCTGCATATATTGTGTTGATTATTGCCAATGACTACAATATGTTGCTTGAGTTCTAGGTATCTTTTTGAGCCTCATTGTTGGCAAACAACTCTCCAGTTTATGAGATGTTGATCACTGTTTTGGATTACTTATAAGACCACATCAACTTACTGATTTTAAAAATTTTGAGTTGCCTAATATGATATGAACTTGGTGAAAATGGATTCCATTTGTTTTGCTCTTTTATTTGCATAATATATATGATTAGCTAGGTAATGACTAATGAGCATATAGGAGACCTGCTAGTGGTTTGAGGCAGCTAAATATTTTGTAGAATGTTCAATGCCCATGAAAATTAGTACCATAATTGTGTCTTTTTCATGCAAAGTATGTTGTTACAGTTATGTTGTAGTTAGTGGGATTTTCTTTTTGATCACCTTTGGGGCTGTGTTGTAATTAAAGGAATTGTCCTTTGGGCTATGATTGGGGCTGTGATGTAATTAGTGGGATACTTTGGACTTCTTGTCCGCCCACAACTTGTTGTACATGATCTTTTTAATTAATGAATATTTTCTGTGTTGCTGATAAAAAATTGGATTTGTTGTGTCTTTTCTAGAAGCTGTGTTATTGGTTATCTACTTTATTTGTGTCTGTGCATTGTCGACATACTAATTGGATTAGGCAGTTGCATGTATCTTAATCATGAAATATTTTGAAATTTCATATGGGTGGGTGGGTGTGCCACAAGACACTAGAAGCTCCATATTGTTTTCTTTCTTCCCAATCTGTCCAAAAAATTGCAGGCAGAGTGCATTGGCAGTTTGGCACATGATTTTCCTAATCTTCTTTGTTGTAGAGAATAAGGTTTCTAAAAATAGTCTCTTCATAACCATGAGAAGTTCCCACCTGCATCTGAATTGAGAGAACTCCCAAATATTGGAGACATATGTGCAGGAGTTTAGTAAATGAAATGTAGCCTCAAAGTTTGCTTTATATAAAAATGCATATGTGGTGTCACTTACCTATAAGGTCTTGTTCTTTAAAGGACCTCATGAGTATGAATTTCTAGATGAATTTTCTCCCAACAAATAGCTTTAATTTTTGGAGGAACTGAACCTTTTCAAATGCATTAAAGGAAAAGCCATTGGGAAACGAAAGAGAGACAGCTTAAAAAGAGAGTGACATAAGAGAAGGATCCACCAGGATTCAAAGCCTGAATTCCACTATTACAAGGCAAGGTATCAAGATGACTCCCTCTAAATAACTAATAAGACAAGGTACCTTGTTTCAGTGATTTAAAAGGTGTGCCTAGGCACAAAGGCGAGGGTGCATTCAGGCTAGGCGCCTTGATAGGTCAAGGTGGCTGAACTTTATAAAGGTACTCGCCTCTGCCTAAGTTGTGTGCCTCAGCCAGGCGCCAGGCGGCCCAGACGAGCACCTATTCAAGTTGTAAATTTTTTTTCTTTGTTTTTAAATTTTAAGTTTGTATATGATTATAACTGTCCAACAAAAGTGGGGGTTTGAAGGGTGACTGTGAGACTTAATTAGGAAACATAGCCCTACAGTTGTGCTGCTTCAGGAGACAAAGCTGGAATATTTTAATCTGGGTTTGAAGGAGGAGATTTGGGGAAGGAATGGTGGGGAATGGCTGGAGCTGAGTGCGGTGGGTTTGTCAGACGGTTTACTCATTTTTTGGGATCCAGGGGTATTCAGAAAGGTGGGTGAGAAGGTGGGAAAGTTCTTTGTGGCGGTTTGTCTGAAAGAGGTGAATGGAGAATCGCACTGGGGTATAACAAACGTCTATGGCCCAAACTCAGAGGGAAAAAGAGCTGAGTTTTGGGAAGAGTTGGAGGAGCTGAGGGGGTTGTGGGTGGTCCTTGGGTGGTAGGAGGAGATTTTTATGTGGTAAGGAGGAGGAGCGAAATGAAAAGAGGAAGGGAGAGAAGGTTTTTGGTGGGAATGAGAAAACTTGGAGAATTTATTGAAGGAAACGGGCTTATTGGTCCACCTTTAAGTGGTGGGAAATTCACTTGGTCAAACGGTCAAATTCCAGCTATCCTTAGAAGGCTGGATAATTTCCTATTCTCAGGAGATTGGGTGGAGTATGTGGGGGAGGTGGTTCAAGAAGCCTCGACTCTAAGAATGTTAGACCACAAAACAATATTGTTAAGAAAGTTTGTAGCTGTAAATGGAGTGAGATCTTTCAAACTTGAAATTGTTTGGTTGCAAGAACCAAAATTTTTGGAGTGGGCTGAGGAGAGGTGGAACCCTGGAAGGTTCAGCAGCTCTTAGGATATTGAGAAAGTTTCAGGTTCTAAAAGAAGAATTGAGGGGTAGAAGATCAGAGGTGTTTGGAGGGCTGAATTGAGGAAAAAAGAGGTTTTGGAAAAGCTAGAAAAATTGGTTAGGCTGGAAGAAGAGGGGCAATTCTCAAGAGAGACTCTTGTAGAGCAGGATTCCTTGGAAAGAGAACTGGAAAGGTTAATTTTGAGGGAGGAGGTGAGCTGGAGACAAAAGTTGAGGGCAATTTGGCTGAGGGAGGGAGGTAAGAACACATCATATTTTCAGGCTTTTGCAAGCGCAAGGAATAGGAGGAACCTCATTTCGAGAATTCAGGTAGGAGAGGTGGTGGTGGACTTATGGGAGGATATACAACAAGAGGTGGTAGATTTCTACAAGAATTTATTCTTAGAAAGGGGTTGGAGGTGGGTGTCCTTGGGGGGGCTTGGAGCCTAGAAAGTTGAATGGTAGCTCAACAGTGTGGTTACAAAGGGAGGTAGAGACTGGGGAGATCAGTGAAGCTTTGAAAAGGATTGAAAGAGACAAAGCTCTAGGGCCTGATGGGTTTAACTTTAGCATCATTAAGGCTGATTGGAGCTTCTTGGAGGGGGATTTTGTTCAAATGATCAAGGAATTTTGTGACACAAAAGAGCTGGATAAAAGGTTCAATGCCACTTTTATTTCTTTGATTCAAAAGAAGGATGGGGCAGTGAATATTAAAGGTTTCAGATCAATCAGTTTAATAAGCAGCTCTTATAAGCTTTTGGCTAAGGTGTTACCATGGAGGCTGAAGTGATGGGAGAAACCCAGATGGCCTTCGTGGAAGGCAAATTTTAATGGGGTGTTGGTGGCTAGTGAATGTATTGATTCTAGGCTGAGAAGTGGGAGGCCAGGTCTGGTTTGTAAGATTGACATTGAAAAGGTGTATGACCACGTGGAAGGCGATTTATTGGAGGAAATGCAGCGTTTGAAGGGCTTTGGGGAGAAATGGAGGAGCTGGGTGTATGCTTGTGCATCTTCAACGTCTTTTTCTCTTCTTCTCAATGGAGTCTCATCAGAATTCTTTCAAGCATCTGGAGGTTTACGGCAGGGAGATCCAATTTTCCCTTTGCTTTTTGTTCTGGTTATGGAGGTGTTAAATTTGTGTTTGGTGAAGGATGTTCAACTGGGATTGATTGAAGGCTTTAGAGTGGGTTTGGAGGGGCTCTACATCTCTCACCTTTAGTACACGGATGACATTGTCTTTTTTAGATGCCTCAGTGGACCAAGTTCTGAGTTTAAGGGCTATACTATATATACTGGCAAACTCTGAAATGTTAACAAGTCTGAAAATTAATCTGTCCAAGAGTCTACTAATTGGAGTGGGGGAAGTAGAAAGGGAGGTGCTGGAATAGCGTGCTGCAGTGTCGGAATGTCAATTAGGGGACTTACCTTTCCTCTATTTGGGTCTCTCTTTGTGGGGACCAAGATTTCAAAAGTAGTGCTAGAAAGGGTGGAAAAAAGATTGGAGAAGTGGAAAGCAAAATACTTGTCTTTTGGGGGCAGAGTTTTCATTAGAAGTGTCCTTTCAAGCTTGCGAACATGCTGTTTGTCACTCTTAAAGGTTCCAAAGAAGGTGGCTGACAAGATAAAAAAACTACAGAGAGATTTCTTTGGGAAGGAATTGTGGGCCAAAAGAAGTTCCATTTGGTGAATTGGGACAAGGTATGCATACCAAAAGGAAAAGGGGGTCTGGGGTTTAGAAGGGTGAGGCTGTTTAATAGGGCTCTCTTTGGTAAGTGGCTATGGAGGTTTGGGCAAGTTAGAGAAAAGGATTCTTTATGGAGGAGGGTGGTAGCCATAGTTGTTAAAGCGTTTAGGCTCGCCTAGGCAACCACAGGGCACCCTAGGCGATTGAATTTGAAAGCATAAAATCTAAAGATCCCTACTTCTCCTAAGCTACTTTGTTAGTTTTTTATACTAACCAACATGCCTGTATACTACCTATTAGCAATAAAACCATTTAAATGAGTAACTAACTATAAATTTCATATAAAAACATAAACATGGCATTATAAATATATTATTTACATAATATATTAGTTTCAATGTTTAATAACAAGAAATGTAGCAAGAAAAAGAGAAAAAATAAGGGGGCTATGTAGCTTCAATTGGTGAAAAGAATGTCATTCAAGTCATTAATGATAACGCTTCGAACTTTGTTTTTGGTAGGTAATTTTGTAACTTATTTTATTCACAACTTTTACTTAGTTTTTCTTGTCTTGTTTCTTAAATTGTTATTTTTGTGTTATTAGGAAAATATTTGATGGCTAAGTATCCTCAATTGACATAGACACCATGTGTTGTCCATTGTATGGATCTCATTTTGGAAGGCATTGGCAAATTACATATTGCCAAGAGGACTATTGAGAGGGTTATGGCACTAATGGGATACATATATAATCATCCGGGCCTATTGAACTAAATGAAAAGGTTTACAAGTCAAAATGAATTGGCTAGGCTGGCCAAAACCCATTTGCTACCTCCTGCCTTACATTACAAAGCATTTATAAGAAAAGGAGGAACTTGAGGGAAATGTAATTCTATTGAGTGGAGTGATCGCAAATAGGCAAAGGAAAG